GTATATGTCCTTTATTGTGTTGAGGAATTTCCCTTCTATTCCTGTTTTCTGAGAGTATTTATCAGAATGGGTGCTGGATTGTATCAAATATATTTTCTACATCACTTGATATGATCATGTGGTTCTTTTCCTTTGTTTTATTTATTTGGGGGATTATATTGGTTGTTTTTGTAATGTTGAACCATTTTTGCATACCTGGTATGAATCCCACTTGGTCTTGGCATATTATTTTTTTGATAGAGTGTTGAATTCTATTGGTGAGGATTTTATTGAAGATTTTGCATCTGTATTCATGAGGGATATTGGCTTATAGCTTCTTGTTTTAGTGATGTCTTTCCCTGGTTTTAGTATCAGGGTTATGCTTACTTCATAGAATGAATTTGGGAGTATGGCATTTTCTATGATCTGCAAAAGCTTGAGTAGTGATAGGTGCCACTTCTCTGAACATTTGATAGAATTCTCCAGTGAAGACATCTGGGACAGGACTTTTTCGTGGGGAGTTTTTTTTTATGATCTGCTCAAAGTCTTTCTTTGTTATGTTGTTGTTGTTGTTGTTAGGTGCCAGGGAGTTGTTTCTGACTCATAGTGACCCTGTGCACAGCAGAACGAAACACTGCCCGGTCCTGCACCACACTTGTGCCCATCACTGCAGCCACTGTGTCAATCCATCTTGTTGAGGGCCTTCCCCACTTTCATTGACCATCCATCTTACCAAACATGACATCCTTTTCCAGGCAATGGTCCTTTCTTACAACATGACCAAAGTGGTGAGATGAAGTCTGGCCATTCTCGCTTCCAAGGAGCATTCCTGCTGCACTTCCTCCAGGACAATTTGTTAGATCTTTTAGCAGTCCATGCTACTTACAGCATTCTTCACCAGCATTGCAACTCAAAAGCATTAACTTTTCTTTGGTCTTCCTTATTCATCATCCAGCTCTCACATGCAAATGAGGCAATTGAAAATACTATGGCTTGTGTCAGGTGCATATTAATCCTCAAGGAGATATCTTTGCTCTTTAGAACTTGAAAGAGGTCCTTTGCAGCCAATTTGTTCAGTGCTATAGTCATCTGATGTCCTGACTGCTGCTTCCATTGGCATCAATTGTAAAACCAAGCAATATGAAGTCTTTGAAAACTTCAGTCTTTTCTCTGTCATGATGCTGCTTATAGGTCCAGTTGTGAGGATTTTTGTTTTCTTTATATTGAGATGTAATCCATACTGCAGACTGTAGTCTTCAATATTCATCAGTCAGTGCTTCAAGTCACCCTCACTTTCAGCAAGC